TTGGGCCTTTTTCATGTTGAAATTTTTTCCATTGTGTATAACTTATATATAAAATATAAATATAACTCATATTTTTTTTCATTTTTGAATATTCTTATGCTGAAAATTTTTGTTATAGAAAAAGTGCATATATATATATAAATGTGCATCGGTTTTATAAAATTGGGAATATTGTATATACATGGGTTTTATAAATTTGGGAATATTTTATCACAAAATTAATAAATATCCTTTATAAAAAAACTTGGTAAATCTTTGTTATAAAAACAATTATGTCCTTAAACTTTATTGTGACAAAAAAAGTTATAACCAAATTTTAATTTGAAAAACAAAAATTATAATAAAATATTGAAAATTTATTTAAAGCAATAAATGTACATTTATTTAAGGAAAGATTTTGTAAAAGTTTTTGTTCTGATTAATTTAAATTTAAGATAGAAAATTCCTATAGAAATTTGCCATGTCACCTTTTTGTTTACCCATTTCATATTTCTTTTTGGAAGACTGATTGTGCAGATGACACATAAGCAAACTCTCACATATCACTTTTCAAATAATATATAAGGGATATATAACTATCAACATAACCATTTTTGTGTACCTTGACAATGTCTTACATAGTCTAGAGCTTTTCGACGGTTTTTAGGTTCAGGATGTCCAAGATACATTTCAAGTTCCACCTGCAAATAAATGAAATTAAAATTAAGTTTTCATGAATTCATTATATAAACAATATTGATTGTGTATCATTTTTCTTACAGGCATCCTGTAAAATTAACTAACCATTTTTGAAAAACTTCAGAAAGTTTAGAATCGAATGGAAATGATAGAAATAATGTGATTGTAACTTAGTGACATGCTTATAACATCTATTTATATAGTTATTATAATTTTGATATGTCTATATAGTCTTACAACACATAGTAATATTATAATTTAGCTTACGAAATATGTCAAATTTATTTAAAAGTTATAGCATGTATTACGAAAAAAACAAAACGAGAAGTAAAATAAAATAAGGGGCAATTGCAAAAATACCACTTGTGGTGTGTACATATGCAAAAATACCACTATGGGTTGTCCATTTGCAAAAATACCACTAATTATGAATTTTTAGAGCCTAAATCTTAAAATTCTAAATCCTAAAAAATGATTTGACCCTAAAAACCCATAAACCCTCAAAATTAAACCCTAATGCAATATAATTAACCCAAACATAAATGATATAATGAATAAATACATTTTAAAAAGTGGTATTTTGCAAAGATTTTGAAAAAATGGCATTTGAAAAATTGCATTTCTCAAAATTTCTCATAAAATAAATAATACGTATCTCAAAGATTTTCAAAAACATAAAACAAATAAAATAATAATAAGAAATGTTACTAATGGAGTAAATTTTGTAAGAAATTAAAGTAATTAATAATTATGGATAACAAAACCAAATTTATTTAAATATTTACAAGTTAATATTAGACTTATGTCATAATATTTATATTTGATACCATTATATATATATATATATAGCAATAAATTGATTTTCATTTATTTAATATAATTGGGATTTCATATTTATAATCTACTATTATGTTCTTTTACATTTAATTTAACTTATAAAAATCATTAAAATTCAAATATATTATAATATTTTAGTTCTTATAAAATCATTTATAAATTTCATATGCAATCACA